TGCTCCTGAAATTTAAAACACAGAATTATCCAACATTTTTAATTTTTTTTTTGTATAAAGCTTTTCTTTTCGTCATATTTTACAGTACTCTGTAAAATCAGGAAGATTCGTTAATTTTTGGCATTTTGAGATGCCCCCTCTGGAAACAAGACGGTAGAATTTTGTGTTTCTTACATGTAATGTACAATGTAGTATTATTCATCATATATTATAGTTTGAGCAAAAACTCTATTGTAGTGTTTGTATAATTTGCTTTTAAGTGCGAAAAATTAGCACTTTCCTATATTATCCTATAGTAATTGTAGCTAATTTTGAGATGGTCCCTTAAAAATATATTTGCAGTGGATTTTCCTCAAACTTGCGTGTGCACCAAAGTCAATATTAGTTATATATGGTGTTAAAATAAAGAGTTTCGCTATTGTAGTTTTCACACAATAAAACCATAGTCGGCCCCATAAAGGATTTTCACCAAGGCAATTTTCTCTGATTAATTTTTGACAAAAGCTCTAAATTAGAAACTGAATTGTCAAAAGAAAAAAAAAAGAATGGGGCAATGGAAAAAAACATAAAAGAACAAACAATTAAATGAAAAAAAATGTTTATGTGGTACATTTAACATTTTATTGATAAAATGTACATATTAAAATGTCTTTGTTTTAAAAACAAATATATACATGAAAAATTTAAAAATTGAAAATTAGGTACATCATCCTTGTATTACAAATTTTCATCTTTTAATCTTACATTTAGTAGGAAAATTTCCTCTTTTTGGGTATTTTGAACGCTTTCTTTAAATGCAAAAATATAAAATGGTCTCATTTAATTAGTTCTTGAAGCAAACCAGGTCTTGAGAAAAATTTCCTTTTATCGCCGTATATTATTTCCGTATGAAGTTCTGTTTTCTTGTCTTATTATTTAAATAAAAATATCTTCATCATATTAAAAAAAATCTTTTTTTTTAGCGATAATCCCTCTTACACGTTTTATGGAAATGGCTCTTTTGCTCAATATTATGATAATGTGTTGAACTGTGAAGGGAATGAGGTTAACATAAATACATGTCCAAAAGGAATAAAAGGTTGTCCATCAAAGGAAAGTGTAGCCGTAAAATGTAAAAGTAAGATTGTCTCAATATTTTTTTTTACTGTAATTTAATTTATGAATTCCGTGTCTGAAATTTTAAGTTTGTTACACTGTATATCTGAGTATATTATTAAAAATTCTAAAACAAATATTTGAAATAATAATATCGGCATAACTCGGTAGATACGAGGGTTGTCCCGTAAAATCGTGGACAAAGCGTTTTTCTCGAAAAGTAATGGGCGCAGTAAGCTGAAAATTTCAGTAAATTTTTATTTATCATATTTAAGTGCATGATAATTTTTTTGATAAAATATAGGCAAAAATAAAGATTTTATTATGCTTGAATGTGCACGAGGTATTGTCCTACGGCGCACGGTCAAAAAACCAAGGTTTTATTAAAGAATACACAAGTTTAGATTCAAAATAAAAGTTTTAAATACATAAGATTTGGATTAAAATTATCCTAATTCAATTCCATTATCAATTTTGTAGTCTTTGTAAAAATTTTAAGGCATTTGCTTAATTTTTGGCAGTTTCTCGAGCATTCGAAATGGGAAAGTGGTAAACACAACGCACGAAAAATGGCGACGTTTTATGACGTTACGGCGCACCGGAGAACAGTTCAGTTTTATTTCGATGTTGTAATGACACCTTAAGAGACTTGAAATGACCATAGAAGAAAAAAGATTATAAAAATATTACCATATCTTAAGTATACAAATGAAATAGGAGTTTTCTTAGCGAAGTTTTTATGATCGAATCCCTGGGGAGTACAAAACCTACGGACAAACTCCTAATTTAATAGCAAAAGACGCTGTCACAGTTAATATGAGATTTTCTATTAGTTGAATGATGGTGAGAATATTGTCCGTAACCTTACTAATAAATCTTCAGAAGATCTTATGAGGGTGCCAATTGGTTCTTCGACTGTTTATGGAGACTAAAGAATGTGTATCAATGAAATTCCTAAATTTAAGTCGGACTCATCCAACTTCATTTTCAGCAAAGATAAACGTGATGCTTTTTTAGACACTTTGACGTTATAATCCATGCGCCGTAAGGTGATACAATACATGGCATAAAATCTCATAATTTGTTTATTTATGCATATATTTATCTGAAATTTGCTGTGTATATTACTAACATATGTACTAAATAATAGTGAAAATTTCAGAACGCAGTGATGTTTATTTTTCACACTAGACAACTTGTCAACGATTTTACGGGACAACCCTCGTAAATTGGCAAGGTCATGACTATCCTGTATACCATTGATTGTTAGATTTATAATTATTATTATTTTTTTTTTGAATTTTTCTATTATCTTCAGAGGGCAATACCTTGTCTGGATTTTCTGTATATGTATCCAATACAGACGATTGGAAGTCAGGCTTTCTGTGTTACCAACACGACATCCAACAAATGCCACGTATCAAAATCATTATTGACTGTGTCACTTCCGGTCGCTACGTCACTTTTTACAACACTAGAAAGTCTAAGTCATTTTCAGGTGTTTCTGAATATTCATACATCAACGCTTGCGAAATTATAGTTAATGGTAATTTTCATTTTCTAGTTCATAGAGGCCTTAACAATCTTGATTTTGAATAACTTTCCCTCATATGTAAATGCAACGTATTTTGCCTTTCGTTTTATTTCGAAAAAATTACATATTACATGAATATGAGTTTAAAAATTAGGGAATTTGAAATGCAGTTATTCTTAACAGTACATGTTAAACTGAAAATTAAATTTTGGTTTGGTATTTTTAAAAATGATACATCGATTGAAACTATCAAGTATTATGCTATAACAAACCTACATTTCCCTTAAGAAACTGATAAAGTAGTTACTTCGTATAAATACATTCAAGCACTGAATTAACTTTTTTTCTGGACAATTGTGTTCGTAATGTTCTAATAAACTACATTAGATTTAATATAGTTTCAAAGAACACTTAAGTAAATCAATAAAAAGGGTTAGTTATTTTATTTGATAAATCGCTCTCAAATGAAATAGTGCTTTACTTGTTCTGTTCTATATTTTGGTTTTCCTAAATTACAGGATGTGACTTGGGATTTTATGGTGTTAACTGTACTCAGTGTCCAAGAAACTGCTTTAATAACTCATGCCACTTTAAAACAGGAGAATGTGTTAATTGTATAGCTGGATACATTGGGGCAAGCTGTGAAACAGGTATTGTGTATTCACTTATCCACTTGTTATACAATGTAATTAGGATATTTAATTATCCCATTGCCAGTGGATACGCGCTTTCATGCTTACGTTTTTTATGAATTATTAAGGTTGGCTAGTAATAAATTTATTCTAGGGGGCTAAGCACTGTGGAAATGTATAGTGTGAGAAAAAGCGCCAAATATATCCCATAAAATCGAAATTACCGTAAAAAGTTGAAAATTAGTTTTCTGAAAGATGGATAGCACACACAATATCGTGTGGCATGCCTTAGCTGTATATGAAAATATCAATTAATATTCTTCCTTAATATTTGGAACAATTATTAATTTACTTGAGTCTTCCTTTTTGGTCAAGCATGTTCGCCTGGTCGTTATGGTCATGGATGTGCGTTTGTATGCGGTAACTGCCTTGATAACAGTGAATGTAACAATGTAAATGGGGTGTGTGTTGGTGATTGTTCCCCTGGATGGAAGGGAGATAAATGTGATCAAGGTTTGTTTCATAATATATATATAGAAATACGTACATATACCTATACGGTTCTTCATTTTAAATAATCAAGTGTAGGGCATGAATACAAACTCAATATTGAAACATCCAGAGGGAATTAGGCCAGTCATTTGCTCATTCATTTAATACAATAACAAATATCATTATTTTTATAGTGTGTGAAAATGGTTACTTTGGTCTGAATTGTGAGTTGTCATGCAACATTCCTAACTGTAGAAACAGTACATCGTGTGACGTCATCACAGGGGAGTGTCTTGAAGGTTGTATTGAGGGTTTGGCCGGAAAAACTTGTAATGGTAGGCCCCATTAATATTTATCAAATGGACATTTATCTCAAGGGGATCATTCGTACGCAAATTTTCATAGGCGAGTTCAGAAGTTACTACAAATTTGTTTTTCTAACATAAAAAAATTAAGCATTTTAAATCATTACTATCATTATTTTATCCACTGACTTCAATATTTCTAGGAAATAATTCTTTTTGAAATTATACTAAAGTGTTTTAAGGACAGATGATGCAAAAATTTTTTTTCTCTGGAAGAGACTTAATATCATGTCACAGGTTTCGAAAAGTGGATAATTATTAGAATTTTTTCTCCTAAGAACTGGAAAATGAAATAGACATGGAAAATATTGGTAATGTTTCAATAAAAAACAACAATAGACAAATCACACTCAGTAAAGGTTTACAGGTAAAAAAAAATCAAAATATGTAACCTTGTTGCTAAAAGTGTATTATAAAATTAAGAAAAATATAGCAAGCCAGGTTAATTTGGTTAGGAAAAGCAGAATGGTAAAAATCAGCCTACGTAATATTGCTGATTTTTGTCATTTGTTTTTCCTCATTCAATTCACATGGCTTGGTATATTTTTATAAAGATTAACCTTTATATACATATTACATCTTTAGCACCTAGGTAACATATTCTGAAATTTGTTTTCACGAATAAACCTTAACCGACTGTTTTTGTCCAAATTTGTAATTTTATTGAAATATTGCTAATATTTTATCTAAGTCTATTTCATTTTCCAGTTCTTAAGAGAAAAAATCTAAAAATTATTCACTTTTCTAAAATTGTGACATGATTTTAAGTCTCCTCCTCCAAAAAAAAAATGTTTGTATCATCTGTCCTAAAACCTGAAATAAAATTTTAATTCTTATTTCAAAACTTTTACTTTTAAAAAATAAATTTCTTCAGAATGTGAGGGGAACTTTTATGGTGAAAGATGTAACATGACATGCAGTGAATTTTGCAAGGATGGAGTCTGTATTCGTACAACAGGTCAATGTAGAGATTGTATTCATGGCAGATCCGGATTTTTCTGTGAAACAAAAGTTACAGAAAATAATCCCAGTGCAGGTACCTTTTCTTTTTACCTTTAAACACGATAATATACGATTTTTTTTTCATGAAATTATTTAATTATTTATTTGTTCATTTCTTAAATAGGCTTCATCAATTATATTTAATACAGCGCTTTATTATCATTTTAAATCGTAAGTGGTCTGTGATTTTTTTCTTGTAAAATATTTTGCTCTTTATCTAAAATATATCTTATATGTACAATTCATTCAACAAGAAGTAATACTAAAAAGAATTGAATCAGCATCAGATGGAAGAGATAATCCTTTTGAAAGCATCATCTAAAGTTTATTTTAATAATGCTTCACAGTTCATTTTATATGATATCTTTTACAGATAGTAACATTTCCATAACTGTGATAGCAGTCGTTACATTATTTGTGTTTATTACCTTGATGATCATGGCGTTGCTAATCTGTGTATTGAAGAGGAAATGCAAGTCCTCTCATTCAAACAATAAAGAACAAAATTACGAAACCATCATGAGAACAAAAGACAGTAACGAGTATAGTCAAATTCAGCACGACATTCCTAATGATAATACTGCGATTGAGACGACTCACTATATGGAGATAAATAGCACAGATATCACGGGAAGGACAGAGTACATCAACTTTGGTTTTAAGCCATAACTTCTATATAACCACTTGAAATATACATTTAATCAAAATACTGTTAAAGTGACAATAAAGTATGTTTCTATCAATGTCGCTTTTCTTTTAAAGATTTGCACTGCTTGAGTTTTTCTTAAGGATTTAGATGTGTAATACCCCACTTCCGGTAAAAGCTACGATGTAAGCCGATGTTTCCCGAAGTGGCAATTCTCAGAAAACCGTACGAGTTATGTTTCTTAGCACGAGTTATCTATCGTTGCTAACCGTAAGTTGAAAAAGAAGGGGGAAAATGGCGCTTAGGGACAAAAAAGGAAGGTTTCTTGGTGTCAAAAAGAAAAAAACAAACACCAGTCCTTCAAGAAGAAAAAAAACAACATATGAAGGCGACCATGATTATTTATCGGGACTAAGTGATCATTGTTGTCCGCCTCAAATTAACATCGATTTGGGGAATAATGTCGATAGGATTGGATGGAGGGAGGGACGTCGCATTGTTGAATTTGATGTCCTATTGTCTAGTTTAAAAACATGTAAGTTCTGCAAATTAGGTCCCGTGCCGTTAATTATTTATAATATCGTTGGTGAATTGAAGAAAGGACTCGGGGGGTATTTGTATGTAAAATGCATGAACCCTGAGTGTGAACAGATAAACTGTGCACCATACGGCAAAACACATCGCCAGAAGAAAAAAGGCATGCCCTGTTTCGTTGCAAACACAAAGCTTTGTACATGTATGTAGATTTCATACTGATTTTAATTAAATAATAAATGTACCAGTGATATATTCAGAACATTAGCACAATAAATTAAATTTTTCAGTATGGTAATTTTTTTAATGATAGCCATGATTGACAGTATAGAGGGCCAAACAGGGTGAATAATTTCCTATCAACATTAAATATAAAACCCATCGATCAAAAGAACTTAAAGTCCATGGAACGCCGAGCAGGGCAAAAAATTGAGGAGGTAGCCAAGCAGATAGAGCAGCCAAAGAAACATATAAACTAGAAATGAGTTAAGTTAAATCTATTTTACACTTATCTATAAAATTAATTAAATTATTTTAATGCTTTTGAAAATTATATGCTTGTGAGAAATATGCTACAGACTCCTACAGTTAGAATGTGTTTTATTGTTTAAAGGGATGTCGCACATGAGGAAATGACTGCCGCTACCGTGGAGATGGGAGAAGTCATCGATGACTTGGGTGTTGGGCTCATGCCCGATGCTTCGCCATCCTTACGGTTTGTTTGATTCAGAGCCTTTATTTCTTTAATGCGAATTTTATATGTTTAAGTTGTTTCTATGAACTGTAAACAATATAAATTTATTATTTTTTTTTTTAAATTTTTTATATACTGTATTGTGTTGTAACTCATGCTAAACCAATCTGTTTTGAAATCGTAAACATGATAAATAATATTGTAGCTCAAGAATTGCTACATTTCCCGATGAGCCCTGATGCATCCAACACAGATAACCAGGACCAGAGTGCCGATAGTGATATGAACAGAGAGAGTAGTTCCTTATTCAAATTTCAGACCACTGCTGCATCTACTGCTTGGTCAATAACTAAATATAAATCTAGTTATAATTTTCCTTATAAAATTGTCTTCGAATTTTGTATAATTTTTAGTTTTTATTTTTAATTTACATTGCCCACTTAGTTTATATAAAAGTATGAATAAAAAATACAGCACACCATTAAATCAGCAAAGAGTCTACAAGGCTTTGAAAAAAAAAAACAGGCAGTCCACAAGTAAACCAGCATGTGAAAAGAAATATTGCTACATTTCCCAATGAGCCTGATGCATCCAACACAGATAACCAGGACCAGATTGCGGATAGTGATTCGAACAGAGAGACTAGTTCCTTATTCAAATTTCAGACCACTGCTGCATCTACTGCTTGGTAAATAAATAAATATAAATTTAACAGTGTAGTGCGGCAATGAATTAATTAATGTATTGTTCTTCAATTTTGTCTTAAACATGCAAATTTAATAATAATTTACCTAATAAAATTGTGTTCGAATTTTGTATAATTATTAGTTTTTAATTTTAATTTACATTGCCTACTTATATAAGTATGAAAAAAAAAATTACAGCACATCATTAAATCAGCGCAGAGTCTACAAGGCGCTGAAAAAAAAAACAACAGGCAGTCAACAAGTCAAAAACCAGTATTTGAAAAGAAATATTGCATCAGCCTTTCCTTGTCGCACAAGAAGTGGCATGTCTCTGGCAGTTGATACAGCCTGACATAAGCCTGGGTTTGATAGTCTTACATGTAATATCAAAACATATTTCCCTAATATAATGAAAATAGATAAATACTAAAAGTTTAAAAAAATTAAAGTACTGTTATTTTATCCTTTATTTTATGTCATTTTTTTTCGGAGATATATGAAATAATTAATACTTTTCACATTGTAGCTCACACTTTTTTCATGGGAAAATCTTGTTATTGGAAAAAAGGTAGTGAAAGCCATTGTTAAACATCGAGTATGTGGAACTTGCAAATGGTGGTCCAGAAATCGTCCAAATGCACCTGTTCGACCGCACAGATGTGTAAAAAACCATCAAGGGAGTGCACGTATGATGGAAAGTACAGGTGGACTTCAAGGGGTGAAAGAACTAAATGAAAGTGGTACTCCAGTTGAATATTTAGAAGGTGATGGTGACAATACTTTAATTGCAAGGCTTAAGAGTGATTTGAATATTTCTATGAAAAAAATATTTGACAGGAACCACATTGTCAAAAACATTGGTAAAAGCATGTTTGCCTTACAAGAAAAAAAACTTAGTAGAGCAGTGATAATGCACATTCAAAAATGTTTAAAGTACATCTTCGCAAAAAAATCAAGGGAACAGAGATGGTATGGAGGAGAACTTGAAAGCGCTAATCCCCCACCAATTTGGTGATCATTCGCACTGTAAACCCCACTTTTGTGGCTTCAAACACAATCCGAACGAAGTGTATCCCCATCGCAGCCTTCTCTACAGAACATCTTTGAAGGATGCTGATTTGCGTACAAAACTTGAAAAACTGTTCGCACCAGTCATTTCAAATGTTGATCAATACTGCGATCTAGGATCCAATCAGCAATGTGAGCATGCCAACCGAGAAGTTACTTTACGTGCTCCAAAGTCCTTGCACTACGGAAACTCTGAGTCTTTGGATTTCCGAGTGATGGCCACATCAGCTTTCATCAACGAGGGTCGGAAGTATATTTCCCAGGTATTTGTTTTTTTCTTGTTCGAGTTCTTGTGTTCTTATTTTCTTTGTTTCTGTCTAAATTTTCAGGTTACAGTTGGTTTGAGTTGCCTGGTGTTTTTTACATTACAGTCCATTCCAAGAAAAACTCTTAATTGTTCAGACTATTAGAGTGAGTTGAGTTTATTTAAGAAAAGCAAAAATAAAAATGAAAATTAATTTTTTTACCTTGAAAAGCACATGCATATTTAATTTGCCATTTTAATAAATAAAATCAGTTTTTATTAAAAAATTCAGTTTTCCTTTTTTTATATTGATAAGATAATTCATTGTTTTATGCTAAACTTTTTTTATGCAGTTGTAAATTAGTCTGTTTCATTAATTAATCTGATGAATTTAATAGGCACATACAGAAGCTGGAATATCACCCGGAAGATATACAGAAGCATATGCGGAGAAGCAGCTGAAGCACCAACGCTATGTACAGGAGAAAGCAAAGCTACCATCCCAGAAAAGGAGGAGACTTGTGCTTAACCCTTTCTCTTCCGGCGCATTTTACGTGTTTTGGAGGCCTTTTGACATGGCATTATTAAATTATTTCTAACTTTTTTATCCTAAGTGAAAGCTAGGCTTAATGCATACCATTTTGAAGGGAATTTCATATAGATGATATTTTATGACTATTTAGATGCTCAACCACTGACCTTATTAGTAAAAATTGAGGTCAAAGGTCAATTAAGTGCAAAATTTTATGGAATTTTTTGATACTTTTTAATCTTCAAGCTAAATATTAAGTATTATGTATGTTGAAATAGGAAATTTGGGATATACCCACAAAAGAGCATTATACTGTAGTACATGAAACACATAAACTTTTTTTTCAATTATGCATATAACTACTTAAAAGGGGTTGCTAAGCAACGCAGAATTCTTTAATTTTCGAGCAGAAATTTTCATTTTTTACTCAATCTAGATACATTAATGCACACCAGTACATATAAAAGTTAGATGTGAGGTCATAAAATTACAAGGGACATACAACAGATAAATTGTCTTAAAGTTTGACCTTATTAGAACTTTTTTTTAGGAGGTCAAAGGTCAAATAAGTGCAAAAGTTTCATCAATTTTTTTCAACACTTTTCAATATTCTTGCCATAATTTTACACAATGGATGCTGAAATGGAAAATTCTGAATATACTCTCAAGAAGGGATCAGAACTGCAATATCCATGCATCATTTTAGTTCAAATATCTGTTTAATGACCTTCAAGTGGTTGCTAAGCAACAACATTTTTAAAGGTTTTGGCTATATACATGTTTGTTATTTCACATTCTGGACACATTCTAGACACTTTTTGTATATTCCATGATATTGTTTGTAAGATATATATGGGCCATAAAGATGAAAATACATTTTTGTATTAAAAATTGACCTCGACACTCTTGTTCTTCAGGGGGTCAAGGTCATATCAGTACAGAATTCTGCTTTAAACTGTAAGTAAATATCAATTTTGAAATGCTTCATACATGGATAAATCATCTAATAGTTGACGTAATAAAAATGGCGAATGACAAAATTTGCAAGCAAAGAATTCTGGTCTGCTTCTTAAAAAAACCCTAGCAAAACACATATACAATCTTTTTGTTAAACAAGAAATCCATTCTCTTGATGCCATTAAAAATAATCTTTATTTTCATGGATTTAATCTAACAATAAAAAAAAAATAAATGATTTCATTACAATATTTTTCTGGTATAACAGAGCTTAAGGGGTACAATAAAGGCTTGACATGTTATCTTAGAGGGAAATAATAATAACAAATAGCATTGGCAATATTTAGCCCAAAACTGTTTAGTCAAAAAGTTGAAAATTTGACACTTATATCCAAATATACAAATCCAGATATACTGCAAGAAGAATTCCAAATCAGACTGAAATCTTCAATAAAATGTTGAAGAGCACTTTTACTTTGTGTCCACCATTCTTTTATCAACTGTTACTTCTCTGTAAGACTGGAGGAAATTCTTTGACTTGTCCAAGACATTATTATTTGCTTTCAAGTTCGAGTGATCAGCTTCTATCCTGTAAAAGATTTAAATATTTTGAAACAGATACATGTCATTGTGTATATGAATTTACATTTATAAATAAAATTAAGAATGCTAAAATTACTACATTTATTTGATTTTCCTTTTAAAATTAAGATTGCATCTATTGTGTGATTCAAGTAGTTAAATGATATTGTTAAATCAATGTATCAGGACTGATAATTCAACAACCTTGTAGTAAACCATTATGGTAAAATTACTGAACTAAAACAAATAGCTTATATGGCAATCTGACTAAAGCCAGACCTCTGTTTACGCTATCGCAACATATAAAAAAATCTGGCAGTGGATGGAAGATTTAATTTTAATTAGATTGCTACGAAAGCCATGAAGGGACACAGCAATTTTTCAAAAAAGTAAAAAATGAGATCTCAAATTAGACAATCCAATTCCACGAATACTAAATCATTCCCTCGATTTATAATTCGAGATCTCGAATTACACAATCCGATCTTACAGATTACTAATTCGCCCCCTTGATTCATAATTTGAGATCTCGAATTACATACTTGTAATTCGTTTTCACAGATTAATAATTCAAGATTTGTTACAACGTCAGTCCTAAGATTTTGGCAATCTGTGCTCTTGAATTTTATTACATATATGTACAGATACATCCAACCATTTTAATCAATTAGTGTGTTCACTTATTTTTATTTTGTTTCTGAACTTTCAGCAACCGGTCATTTCCAACCTCTTTCATAACTAATTCAACGAATATTTATTTTAGAAATATTATGATTACACAGGACCCATATTCACTTTACTATTTCAGATTTTCAATTATCTTAATATACACGTAACACAAAAACCTCTAAGATTTTTTGTTGTACAAATATCAGTACTAGCATATGGATTTGAAAATGTTCTTGTATTTTTCTCATTTTGGACCGTAATATGTAATAAAAGGTTGAATGTAAAATACTACAATATTCTATTCTTTAAACATGTATTACCATATCCGATATGTACAGATAAATAATTTTAATGAAATCATGGGAAGAGTTTACATTCCGAGGGAACGTATCATTTAAACTTAGAGAATGAATTATACAATCTGAGATAATGGATTGTGTAATTTGAGGGAAGATAATCTGTGAGAATATGAATTGGCAATTTGTTATAACAGATTGTCAATCTGAGAGAATAGATTGTGTAAATCGAGAACTCGGTTTACTTTTATAAATTTTTAAAAATTCTATGTCCCTTCATGGTTTTCATAGATTGCATACCTGTATGGCTGCCAGGGTTGTGAAAAGAAGGGAGACAATAGACTGCAATATTACTTTAGGGCAAAATTCCTTGGGCAAGGCTGTTCGTGAGCATGGGAGTGTTGATAAACCATCCAGTGAGTTTGACCACCCATATATATGATGTACGATAATTGGAAAGTGTCTGAAAAAATGAGAAAATGGAAATTCTAACCACAAACTTTATGCAGATTGGAAATACCTCAGCAGTCTATAAAAACAGCTTGTTTCATATCTCGGCATTCATTCAAATAGATATTACGTGTTCAAATAATGTGTTTGTATGAATTATCAATCATCATAAGTATTATGTGTTTCAAACACTTATTTTTCAAAATATAAATCAAATGTTTATAAACTTGTATGAATGCTATATCATGAGTATGACACAAATGAAATTTGACTTTATTTTTTGAAATTTTAGAAATACAGAAATTTTCAATAAAAAAACAAAAATTTACCTGTTCAATAGTGTCCTTACATATTAATTGGCATTCGTAGTTCATGGTGGGCTTAGCAAGTGGGTATTCACAGATGAAAGTATTGCTGCGTATGGTGCCAGCACCCTTAAAAATTCAAAGTGAAAGTGGTATATGTACACATTGGTACACACATACTGAAAACAACTATCTTTTTAATATTATGGCAACTTTGATTTTACTTTAAACTTACGAGTGTTTGTCAAAAGCATCAAATTTCAAAAGCAACACAAAATTGGCTTAACAATACGAAATACGCACACTGAAATAAGAAGATCTAGTACATGTACATGACACAGTGTACATTTAGCTTTCTTTTGAACGTGAACTAATTGCGTTTTAAACTTAAACTATTCAGTCAATATACACGTATTCTCACCTGCTAATACCAAAGGCATGTCCGTATTATTTGATTCATTGATGTGATAATCTTCGTAGTGAAATAATCATGAAAATTAACGTTCAGATTTCGCATCACGGTCACCATCATGTTGTTTGTTTACTGCTACCATAGCGGAAACACGTGGTTATTTCAATTCGTATCAACTCATACAGTGATGAGTCGTATTTATTTAAAAATGCGAGTTCTTGTATTGTTAAATTTCGTGCCAATATAGATCTAATTAATTTGCAAATTAAGTATACAATATAACAAGATACAACTATATTAAAATCTGATTTTTTTTAGTAAAGATTGACGTTTAGGGAATCTACAATTTTCTCAACATTGTACATCAATGTCATCATGTACACCACTACATGAAATTTTCATCATTACATGTGGATGAATGAATTGACATTTCATTTCACACAAAAGGCAGAACGATAGTATATATTTGTTTTTTTTAAAATGTATTTTTATATTATGCATTTATTTCAGTAAAAAATATATATTTAAATGGTCAAAAAAGTCTTATAAAAGAATTGGTTGTTTCGAGTAAGACGCAACAATATCGACCTTGACGTTACATGGTAAATATTGATCGATTTTTCCATAAAAACTATGCGAAGGTCACAAATTCAAATTATCGTAATTAAAAAAATACTGAGCATAAGAAGGCCTGTAAGGGCTTGTTAGAAAGGAAATTTTCTCTACTTTTACCAGCTTTATTTTGTTTTCCCTATTTCAACACAGAAATAAACGTAAAACTGAGCTTTGTTAAAACATTACGAATAAAACCGAGAAAAAACACATAAGTGTAAGAAAATTCTTGTTTTGAAAATATACCTTAAAGTAATAACATTATTTTTACATATTTTAAAAGTAGAGAAAATGTGCTTTAAGAATATACCATGCTTTCTTTAAAAAGTGAAACAGGAAAAAATTGTCAATCGTCTGGAAAATCGGCAATCGCTTTGGAAAATTACGCCATTTTCAAAACGTCACGTTTGTATTTACAACGTAAAATCGATTAAATACCGGCAATCAAGACATAATCTTTTTAGATATTTTAAAAGTAGAGAAAATTTCCAAAAAGATGATATATAGTTTATATACCTTCATGTTACCATTAAATAGATACGGAGATCTTATTTTCGCGAAGTCGTGTTTTAACGCGCCACCGGTCAATTTGACCGGTACGGAAGTGAAGGGGTTAAGCAGGAGAGGGCAGTGACAAAAGGGGCCATGGAAGCTTTGGAGGGAGTTTCTAGCCAAGCTGGTCAGTTATCAGCTTTAATATTTTTATGCTATCATGAGCATTGAACATGTTGAGGTCATATGTTAAAATTTAGTTTTTCAAAGAATATAAAAATATTTTCATGTAATTTCATTATGTTATGTATTTAAAATGAAGAGAATGATTGTTATTTACTTGCATTTTTTATATTATTGTTGCACAACATTTATTTAGGTGTTGGACATGAGGATAATGTTGACATTGAACAAATTCCTAGTCCTGTATCCAAGGGATATTTCAAACTTTTTCCCAGGTCTTCTCAAGATAGAATTGCATATGTTACCTTTGATTTGTAGACAACTGATCTAAGTAAGTAACCAATTCTAGAAAGAAAATTATCAAATAATAAAAATATTTATTTTATAAACATGTTGCTATTTGCATGATCTTTAAATATTATTTGAATTTGATTTTTTTTCAGTTCGTGGAGGAAGGATCCCACACATAACACAGATTGCAGCATCTGATTTGACCCCTAAATCACAGAGGGAGTTCAACTGCTATGTGCTTCCAAAGATTCCACAGTCACAAGAGGCCCAGAGAATTAGTGGGATCACTATGTCTTCATCCAATGTATTAATGGTAAATGGGAAGGAGGTAGAGACTGAAACTATTGACTCAGCTCTGTCCAAGTTTCTAGATTGGCTAAAATTCTACAAGAAAGTCATCCTGATTGCTCACATTGGCAAAAATTTCGATTTCCCTATGTTCGTGACGGCACTTGCATCTGTGGATCGTGTATCCGAATTATATGATGTTGTAATAGGATTTGTTGACAGTCTACCTTTGTTAAAAAAGGTTTTCCCTGGAGAAAGTTCGTACAAGCAAGAAAATCTTGTCAGAAGCCTACTAGCTGCAGCATATGATGCACATAATGCCCTTGAGGATGTAAGATCACTAGGCTGGCTTATGAAGCATGAGAAAGTAACTGATAAATATCTTGCAGACTTTTCGTTTTCACCTGTAGCAGTGAAAAATTAGTTGCCATTTAACAGGGAGAAAACCAAAAACATTGGATCATTAAATCCATTAATTGCAGCCGGTGTGATGAAGATGACAACAGCAGAAAATGTTGCAGGGTTTGGTTTGTGTCTTGCAAACCTTCGAAAAATTCATATGCGGGAGGGTGAGGATGGACTTCGAAATATTTTTATTAGCAAAAACAGTCACGGCCAAGCTCGGGTCACTAGTTGTAAAAGAACATTAGATTCTGTCATTCCAAAATTATGTGAATTTTTTGACAAGTATAACATGTAGTATGAATTCATATTATTATTTGTGTCTTGTTATGTACCAATGCACATCAAAGCAAAAAAAAAAAAAGGAAAAGATGAAAATGTATTTGATATATCACATATTATGTTATGGCTGTTAACCCTTGTGAGTAAATTATCTTTGGAGGTCAGGTGATGTTAAATGAACAGAATAAGAACTTAAATGTACATTGTTAACATGCTGAAATATAGTTTCCTCCTCAGTAGTAGTTGACGTTATTTGAAATACCATGATTACAAATATTTAAGGATTTTAAGGGTCAAGGTCATATATCTAGGTCAAATGATTGAAATTTTTATTATTTATTTGAATTTTTATTATTTATTTAGTAAAAGTATCTTTAAAAAAAATATTGTTAATATGAAGTATCATTATGCTTATTGGGGATGACAAAGTGATTTTAGTGCTGAAATCGATTTTTTTCACAAGGGGGTACCCTAGAAGGGCAAAGGATAATTTAGAAATGTGTGGATGGAATTCATTGTTTTTTTTATTATAATTATATACACATGTACTTTGAAAGCAATAAAACTGTTTTGGTTCTGCACTCATATTTTTTTTTGAATGATATTACTCAGTATTTTATTTGTCAAGATGTCGTCTTTGTGAACAAGTGTTGATGTTATAATATTTTTACTTGATTAAATGGGGATTCAAATGAATTTAATATTATTATAGAATATCATATCAGGTAAAAAAAAAACTTAAAATAAAATTGATTATTCCAGCTTAAAATATAGAAAACTTATGGTAACCATCTGTCCATTAGTGGAAATTAAGTCGAACAGGGTAGAGTCATAAATAATGTTGTAAAAACTTTTTCTGTCGTTGAAAGTTTACCAGACTTGCTGAAATGAATAACTATATGTACTTCTTTATAATTCTGATGTATTTGACAATATCTGAATTACAGACCATTACACCCCTAATACCTTAAACATTGACTTTTCGATAAAATATGGAATGTAAACATAATGTTATTTAACCACATAATTGTATGTACATGCATTAAGAGTTTTGGGATTTATACCAGTATGTAAATATGCCTATGATTTACAATACTGTAATGATGAGTATAACTTCAAATAATTCCTTATAGATGACATGAATAGTTTGTTAATCATGGTATTTAGAAAACAATTGTATAATGGATTATTTTACCCCATGTTATTATGTTTTGTTGCATCGTTGACAGACTCTATTCCTGTCAGAATTTTTTATCGACCTACAGCATGTTGTTTGATAATATGAATGCACAAAATTAGGCCAATTAGATTTCTCCAAATCAGTAAAAAAAAAAAGAGTGTATTTCTAAATGACTGTTTTTATGCAAACTTTTATTTGAGCTCTTATTACTGATTGCAATATTTCAACTCGTTTTCCAACGACTAGCACAGTTGAAGTATTATGTTTATGCAGATGAAACAATGAGATATTTGAGATTATCATTATCCACGTAATTCCACTTTGGTACGATGCACATTACATATCAACCAACCCTCGTACATGTAAGTAGATATTCAATATGCAGAATTTATAGCGGCGTAAGCAAAACTGAACAACAACAAATGAAAATTTAGCATCAAATTAGCTCAAATCTCTCAGGTTATATGTTTGAAAGATTTTCTATAACAAGTAATCAGTTCAAAAATAATAAATTAGAATCTAATTGCCTTCAGAGAAAATGTCATACTTCATAACTTTTTTTTAATTTTATATTATGTGTAAATGTACCGAACATAGTACAGATAATTTGTTAATGTGTTCATCAAACGTGGAAGTGAAAGCTTTAAAAGCTTTTAAAAGCCATTTACACATGAATGATATACTTTGAAAAACTGTTAACAAGAGGCAATCGTCAGTCCATAATAGTTTACTTCCGTGGTGGATAGTTCAATGGAGCTGTTGGTTATAGTATGAGCAAAGAGGAAGTGTATCTATATGAACACGATATGGCCCTAGAATTCGTGAGTGCGAAAATATTTCAATTACTTGTCCTTTCTGTTCTCACAAATGTTTCTTTTCTGGCACTAAAAATTTATCGGAGGGTAATGTGGGGGGTCTTAATCAATCGATCTAGTGCAAGGGCATACACTCTATGGACCAAAGTAAGCTTTTACATTTCAACTATAGAACTGTTAAAGTATCTGGAAAGAGCTGCGATCCGGATGAAATCTCAGAAACAATTTGATTATATCATTATTTCATGCCGCAGACCAGCAAAAAATATAGCATTCGGCAATACAAGTATAATTTTAACAATGAAATTGCAGAATTTAGACATGATTGCAGCACTTTTTAAAAACTACAATGCGTGTTGAAA